GGGCTGGTCACAGTGTCCGGTCGCTCTGAGTGGTGCTATCAGTGCCGGCGACCGGCCGGACGGCGCGCACGGGCCGACACATCCGGGAGGGCGCCACGCCGCCAGTCAGCCACCTGTGGCTGCGGCCGCCGGCGCGGCAGCAGCCACTCCGCCGCCGCCGCCGACCGGTAGGCCGCCGCACCGCCGCCGCCGCCGACCGGCCAGTCAGCACCGCGCAGTGAGCCGAGCTGGCGGCCGACCGCGCCGTCTGCTGCCCTATAGCGAGCGTCGAGCGGCGATAGAGCTCGTGTGAGTGTGTTTGGTGCGCGGCGCTGCACGCTGGAGTGAGCCGCCGTGACGCGAGGTGACGCGCTGCGCTCGGTGACGTCACGGTGCGGTGTGACGTGACGTGATTGTGTACGGGGAGTGGTGAGCGCGCCGGACGGTGGCGAGCCGCCGCGCCAACGCCTCAGACATGGGCGAACGGAAGCGAGAGGCGGCGTCGCAGCCCAAATTGCGCCGGCAGCATCACAGTGTGGACAATGTGAACCAGGAGAGGAGGCCGACCAGTGAGGCCAAGGCGCGCGCGGCGCCGCCCAGCCTCGAGCGCGACAGCACCGGCAAGCCCAACAGGTTCGGCTGGAAGAGTTGGAGTCAGCACCGGCTCAGCGACCTATCGTCGGCAAAACGGGCGTTCGGCCGATTTAAGGACGGCGGTGAGTTGCGACAGTCACCCTGGCTGACACACTGTGATGAGTTGACGGCCGAGTCGTGCTGCTCCGGCGCCGAGCAGACCGCTGGAGGCCGCTCACGACAGCGGGGCTTCCAGCCGTGCCGTGGTCAGGGCCGCGCCGGGCCGGAGGGCGGGGCCGGCGCTGGCGTGACGGGCGTCCTCGGTGAGCGCACGCACCGACCGTGTCACCCCGGTCGGCGGCGGCCTGACCCGACCGACCGACCGACCGACCCGGCCAATGGCCGCACAACAGGCAACGGTGGCGGCCTTTGTTTGGAGGCGCCGCCGCCGCGCCCGCATTGAACCAGCCGGCGGCGGGCGACGGGCCGAGGTCGGCACCGGTCGGGACCGTCCCGTGCGGTCTGCCCGCTCCGCCTGTGTCGACACTCCAGCCGGCGGCCACCGCTGTTTGCTCCCCAGTCACACTTGACCTCAGCCGTGACCGGCGGCGCTGCGCAGTTAGAGACCGGGAGGAGCAGAGAGCGGCGGAGAGCCAGACCAAAGATCAACCACAATCCGGCTGAGTTTATTTGACCAAGCCAGAAGCACACAATTCGAGTGGATTTCATCGTATCAGACACTGTTACAGGCCGAGTTTTGTCTGCTTTTGTGGGCGGCAGTGCTGATCTTTTCCGGTTGACACGTCAGCGCCGCAGGTGTTCGCTGTCGGGTCGCCCGCCCGCCGGCAGCTGTGGCGCCTCCCACTGCGGGCACGCCACCCGTCGCTGGTGTCGCGGCCCGGCGCACTGGCCTGTCCGTGACATGCCTCATGGCTGACGAGCGGCGCGCGCGGCCGGACGCCGATTAGATTGGCCGCTGCCGGTCTGGCCGGCGGGGGCGGCGGCCTGTCGGGCCGTGGCGTGTAGTGACGTGTAGGCAGAGCTGACACAGCTGTGGCGATTCGACAAAGCTGACACACAGCCGCCGCCGGTCGCCGGGTGAGGCAGATCGGCTTAGCACGAGCTTTGTGTAACCACATGGCGCGACCCGGTGTGGAGAACCGGAACACTTGATCAGAAAATCGGGTTTTGCTCGGTTGGGTTGGCTCGGCTCAGCCGAAGAACCCGGCTCGACCACGGGATATCTGTTGTCGCGGCTCGCGGGGCAGTGCAATAGAGCTGTGTAGGAATCACGACACCGGCCTCACGTCGACCTGAACTTACTCACGTAAACGGATTTACAACGATCCTAGTTTCCTAGTTTGTCCGAATCTTTGGGGTCACCGACTTTCCAGTGAAGCATCGCCATTGTAGCAGAACCAGTTCCGCGGGAGAAACGCCGGCCATCACCTGTAGGCAGGGATGCGGAGCCGTGAAAATTTCAGACGGCTCCGGCTCCGGCTCCGGCTCCGGAGAAAAAATCGGCTCCGGCTCCGGCTCCGGCTCCGGGTGAAATGTCATGGCGGCTCCGGCTCCGGCTCCGGCTCCGAGTAAAATGATCCGGCTCCGGCGGCTCCGGCTCCGGCTCCTACTCAGTACATCCCCTATGCGATCAATTAAATACGGGTGGAAGAAAAAAGGCGATGGGATTGGTACACGTTGCTTCTGTATTTGTATAACAAGGCTATTTTGAATACCACATTGTTTTACGCTTTGTACTGTCAAACCGAGCTAGGTTGATAATTTTTTCTTCCTGAAAAAGGAGTCGGAGTCGCACCCTTTTTTGACGGCTCCGGCTCCGGCTCCGGCTCTGGGCTATATTGTTTCACGGCTCCGGCTCCGGCTCCGGCTCCGGGCAAAATATGACGGCTCCGGCGGCTCCGGCTCCGGCTCCGGCTCCGGCTCCGCATCCCTGCCTGTAGGTCGCGGTGGGAACCGGATAGTGTCTGACTCGGGGAGCGTGTGAGTTCTCGGGACGGAGTATCCACCGTACTGTGCAGGGTGCAGGCCGAGCCGCGTGCACGGGACGCCCACACGCCGTAATGTCAGTCCTGCGGCCGCGGACGCTCGGACGCTGTTTTCGGGAAGACTGCAGCCGTTGCGCTGTGCGCGCTGCCGCTGTGTGTGTACCGACATGTTTGTCTGTCTGTCTGCCCTCTGATCAGCCGCAGTGGCTGCAGGGCAGGGGAGGGGCGCGGCGGAGCAGCCAGTTCGCCTCGCCGCCGGGCCGGCTCCGTCTGCCGCAGGCCGCGCCGGCTGCCGTGATGGATTGCCAGACGCGAATAGGCGTACTTATCGTGCTTACACAATTGCCGGTGGCCGTCGCCGGCCGGCCGAGGCCGGACTGTTGGCTCACTCGGACGGACGGCGACCCGAGTGACCGCTCCGGGCTCCAGTCTTCCGTCCACTCAGCTGAGCACGCGTTATTGAATCGAGCCGCGGGGCTCGGAAACATGCGCCGATGGGACCGAATCCGGCTGCTTTTCATCTGCTAGATGGAAGGCTAATCGTATTGATCCGGAGAGCCGCGCAGCCTGCCACTAACGCCGATGGCTCGGCTGCCCTTCCGTTGGGCTTCGCTGCTACTTTGATAGTATTGGTTCAGAGCGTGGAGCTGCCTCTATTGCACCTGGCGCTGAACTTTGATAAAGCTTCCCTGTCCGTGCTTCCCCACCCAGACTCAGACTGACAGTCATTGCACGTTGTTGACTCATCGCTAGTTGCGGTTTTCCAGTGCCATTCGGCTGCTTCAGGGCTGATTGCGGGGCTGCGGCATGCAATCTTCTGTTTGTTTGCTGTTTGCATCACGACCACTGTTGCTCGGCCACCTATGACGGGTTGCACTCTGCGTTGTGTGCCGCTCTGACCGATCAGCTGGTGTCTGCCGACCGCGTCCGTAACGGCGGCGGCCTCCCTGCCGGGCCAAGGCCGCCGCGGCCGGCGGGCAGTGCGCCGCGCCGCAGAGCTGGGCCGGCCGCCGCACCCGGTCCGCACCGCCAGATATCACCGCTCCGTGACCCAGAGCTGAAGGACGCCGCACGCGGTGTGACCGATTCGACAGCACCCCCTCCAAACTTCGCTCGTCGCTGTTACTTGGGAGTTGGACAGCCAGGCACGGCGTGGGACGGCTAGACGAGGGGCTGTGTTCGTGTGGCCTGCAGCGGACAGTAAGGATGGGTGGAGGCGGCGTTCGGTGGGGTGGGTCGCCACAGCACCATGTGCCGGCCCAATCAGCGCATTTTTACACGCCAGCCGATACTGGGCTGAAACTGGATGCCCGAGATCACGTGTCTGAGCTGCGTTACGTGCACATGGGTTTCTCGCCGCGTTTAGCTGACAGAACCCTGTCGAACCTGAGCTCCTCGTGCCATGGATTATGTTATTAATGCTGAACTTGCATGGGCTGTGCACAATATCTGCTTTTAATGCCAAACGCATGTTTTTGATGATTGACACGTTACCAATTTCATGGACTTGTGCAAGTTTTCCTGCGGGCATGTTTCACCCTGAAATTATGCACATTTTCATGCTGATTATTCCTTACCCTACCCAATGAGTCAGACCCGTGCTCCGTATTTGGCTGGGCTGACCTTCACACCACGGTCTCGCATGCTGAGCGCGCTACAGCTGTCATTTTGTCACAGCTGAGGGACCGAACTCGGTTACTGCTGCTCGGGTCCGGCCGGCGGGCTATGTAGAGTGGGACGGCCCACAAATGGCGCGACGCGCAGTGGTGTGTTCCCTGGCCGTAAAACCCGGCTGAATCGAGAGCCGAAGCCGGTGGGATGCTGCTCGGCGGCGGATGGCTGGTTAACTAGCTCGGGGTTTGACGTAACGGGGCCACTCCCCTGTGCCGGTGAAGTATTCATGTGGGTGGTATTTTTGGCTGTCGAAGCTGGGAGTTAGGGACAACAGCAGCCTCCCAAAGCCCCGGTATCCCAGTTTGATCATGAGCGGACCCTGTGCCGTATTGGTGACGCTGCGGACATTGATTTACTGTAAGGGCGGTAGGGACGGGGCGTGGCTGACGAAATTAGTTTGGTTCTTTCCTGCCTTGCTTCGTCCGATCTGTTTTTGACCTCTTCTCAGATGGTTCTCAGATGAGGTATCTAAGCTTAACCCAATAGGGTACCTATGGCTCGCACGCATTGATGCGGTCATCGGCCGTAGAGAGACTAGTGAAAAGTACCTGCGCCAAAAGCGAGACGCTTAACTTCCCTCTTCAAACCATAGACATTTTCATGTCATAGGTATTCTGAGGTCTATGGTGAAACCTTTTGTGCCATACCTCTACCTGTCATTTGCTGTACATCGAATTGACTCATCCATGAGTCGCCCTCCTCCCCCCCCCCGCCCGTTCCTTCACAGTGTGAGCGCGGTGGTGACCGAGGTCCGTCTGTGTGTTTCAGGCAGAGATGGAAACCAGCGGGTGACCACGGTAGTGGCCACCCCTGGCCAGGTGGGCTCCGACAAGCCGCACGAGGTCTCCTACTCGGACACAAAGGTAAGAACCGCCGCCGCCGCCGCAGCGACTACCCGCTGGAACCTGTTTGCTGGGCGGGGAGGAGGAAAACCGCTGCCCGAGGAGGGTTCTCCGCGGGTAAACCCGGCTCCGCTGCCGCCTGGGTGTTGTGACACGCTTCCTTCTTTCTACGGCTACGTAAAAAGGCGTTTTCTTTTGTCCTAGTTTGTGACCGTAGTTAAAAGTTAGTGGCATTGTTCCCTGCGTAAAGTTATCGGTGAAATGAACTTAGCTGCTGTGTGTTGCGTCGTTGCAAGTGCGGGTGATTTCGAAACCACGATTTAAGCTAGAATCAATGCCAACTTGTCACCTTATGGTTACTCATGCAGGTGACCGTGAGAATGAAGATGTTACGTAAACGTTTATGCTATGTTAACGTGTAACAAATTATCTATCTACGCACAGACTTCTCTATATATAGAGAAGTCTGTGATCTACGCCTTCCTTTTTATGTGACATACATTCTGTGCGCACCTCAATTACCTCAACTCGTTATTCGAAAAAGCCAGTAGCATGCAAACTGTTTTCCCAGCTGGAATGTGCGACATCTCTTCGTTGTATCCTGTTCAGTTTTTTTTTCTCGATCGTGCTGCGTCAGCTTCTACATCTACAGCTAGACACTGATCCCCGGTCGTTTTTGCCACCATTTCAGGTGATAGGCAATGGAAGCTTCGGCGTGGTATACCAGGCCAAGCTGTGCGACTCAGGCGAGCTCGTCGCAATCAAAAAAGTGCTCCAAGACAAACGGTTCAAGGTGAGCCACCTGACCCCTCTCTGGGCCCATTGTGTCCGCTCCAGCGCCCATTGTGGCACACACAGCTGAGGGTATCGCACTGGATGGAGTGGGGTCATACGTGGGGTGATCCGATGAAAACAAAAACAAACAACGCTTGGTCACACTAAGCATTTTCTGATACTTTTTCTGATCAATTGGGGATGAGTTTTAAATGAAATGCCCATCTATGTAAGTTAAGAAATGATCCAGTTCGAACAGCCATCTATATATAAAAAACACACAGGAAACGTTAAGGATAGTCATTCATTGACCACAGCTCTGCTCTGTCTGGAGCCGTTCCCACTCGCCTCCCACCGTGGCCGTGTATCGGAGCGGAAGGGGCGGCGGCTGGGGCGCTCAGCTGGGCGCTGTTTGGCCGTGTGGCGGTCTGTTTAGGTGGCCGCCAGCGCTTGGGACGTCCAGCCGAGCACCAGTCGGCTGGCACGGGCCCGGCGCCATAAACTGACGCCCGATCGGCTACCTGGGGTCAGCCACCGGTCGCGGTCGGGGTGGGCCACCGACCGGGTCGCGGTCGGGGTCGGGGTCAGCTACCGGTCGGGTCGGGGTCGGCCACCGGTCGCGGTCGGGGTCGGGGTCGGGGTCGGGGTCGGGGTCACGCTGACATTGGCGTCCGGTTGGGGTTTGAAGACGCACGACATAGGTGTGATGGTGCAATACGAAGGTGGTTCGAACCAGTGCGTGCTGGTATACACTAAACTTATTCAGGGAGCCGTGTGGGGACCCAAACTGTGTCGGAGCTTAGGAGCATTCATAGCTTATTCTCATCGATATTGTGCTGATTGTCATACTTCTCTCAATTCGTTTATAAAAGTTCAAAATATGCATATGTCCTCACGGCGCACATCAGTACCCCGCCGCTCCTTTCTGTAGCCGATGTAGCTCATATCAGACTTGCTAGCGACTTTCAGGAGGATTTTGTCGGTGTTCGGCTTCCCTCCTTGGAAAGTTAATAACGCACCGAGCTTATTGTGTTAGCAGCTTCCGCTATGCTCGTCGTGGCCTTGTTGATGCGCAGAAGTGGTCACCTGCCGCCAATGTCGATATGATGTAATAAATCGATGCTAGTATTTGATTATTTTAGATTGCATATTTGTGAGCGTGAAAAACCGATGCGAATCCTTGGAGAAGGACGGTATCCGGTACCTGTTGTGACTCACTTATTTTACTCTTTTTTCGCAGAACCGTGAGCTCCAGATAATGAGGAAGCTCGAGCACTGTAACATAGTTAAGTTGAAGTACTTTTTCTACTCCAGTGGAGACCAGGTGAGACCCCCACCCTCCCTCCCCTCCCCACTCCCCACCTCCCCCGGGACTGTGGGGCTGAACGGTCCCCCGGTGTGTCGGTGTTCAGTCCATCAGCTCAGCACGCGCTCCTGCTGTGCGGTTCTGTGTGTCTTTCAGTGTCCGGTTGGGTGGACGCTCTGGGAGAGTTGGTTTACTGTCCGCCGTTTGCTCCTCGCGTGCCTTTCGCGAGACGGCCTCGGTCAGAGATGCCCGGGAGGTCGCGGGGCTCCGAGGGGCCGGTCGATGCGTAGACTGATTAATGACATAGATCAGCCGGCGACTCCGGCCGTGCGCGGGACCAAACGACATTGCCCGTGCCGCCGGCGTGGCGTCTATGCTCTGTCCGATGTGTTATCCGGGGTATGTGGTGGCGCGGGGCCGCGCCCTACGCTGATGGTGGTAGAGTGTTGAGTCGTGCCGCCAGTCCGGCCGGTCTGAACCGGTCATCTGTGGACTAGTTCTGTTTGTGGATTAGTGTGACCAGTGATCTGAGTCTAAGGCGACGGGACGCTGTGCTGCTCTGCTGCTGCAGGCGCTGTCTCGACAGTGTATGCCTCTCCTGCCGACGTGTTCCACCACCCTGTCGCTGTGTGCTCTATTCCTAGCATTCTGTGTGCCGTCTGCGTCCACGTCTGTGCCGCGTCTTTCCCTGATTCCCACCCCACTGTCTCGGTCACGTCTCCGCAGAAAATACCCGACTCTGTGCTCATCATACCCCGCTCGTGTGATACGTGGTCTCCTGAACGTTCTGCGCTTGGTCTGTGTGGCGCGGGCGACTCGTACCCGGGTTGTGTATTAGACCATTCCACGGTCTATGTGTGGTTATTGCTGTTCTTTATCACGGTGATATGACATGGCGGTGCGGTCATGGTCGGACCTGTGCCGCGGTGGATTGTTACCAAGTGACGGTCTGTCGGACCAGTTGTAACGATTGAATATGCCTGTCGACTGCTCATTCATGAAGCGGACAGTGATGCAATCTGATTGTTGTTGTGTATGAATGTGTCACTTATTCATCTGAACTGCACCCCGCCGCGCTGCATCGAATTACACCGAGCCCTGACACCGTGCAACAACACCCGTTACATACAGCTAACCTAACGCTTTCATAGCTGCACAACGGCGTGGTCTGTAGCTCAGACAAACAAAGAAAGCTCCTCATCACGACGTTACACGAAATCACAAAAAAATATCCGTTCAGTCGTAGTGCCGTAATATTAGCCACCGTCGTCCTGAACCCTGACTCTGCTTCTCCCCGTTCCTCAGAGAGCCGACCCCAGATATCGACCGCTGCTGCTACCGCTCGTTACCCCCCCCCCCCCTGTGTACACTCCCATGAGGCGTCAGGTCACGTGATGCCGTCCTCTGACCCCGGACGGGTGCCGCACGGAGACATGTGACCCAGTGGAGCGGGGGACTGCCTGGTCAGTGACGGTGGTCGGTAGTTTGTCGTACGGAGACGATATACGACATTTCGATATGTGACATTTCACTAAGCCACCTGGTGCCTGAGAAGGCATTACCTTCAACATTGTTGGAAGTAAGGTCCGGGGTGACCAACCTGCTGTAAAGCTCGGGGCTTCGTTCAGGAAGTTCAGAGACCGTCACTGCGGGGCAATGCAGCTGCTAGAATGCTCTCCGAGTTATCGATAACATTATCATTACTTATCGGTGTCAGGTTGTACCCGTGCCACCCAAGACTTGATGCACATGTTGCGATAAGTTCTGTATCAAATGTGTTGTTTACAATTGCATCGCACCGTTTGTGCAGCGCTCTGGGCTTACCCCAGCTGATAGGAGCGCTCAATACCTTCCCACGTCCACTCGCTGTCGCTGAGCAGAGTAGCTAACAGCTGACGAACTCGTCCCATCCGCTCTCCGTGGGACCGTTTGCGCTGTTGTGCCATCACCACCGGGACCATTAGTATAAATACCTGCTGTCGGGCGGGTTAGGCCGCCGCGGCGGGGTCGTTTCAGCGCCCGGCCGGTGGTCGGGTGTTTCTCCCGCCAGCCATCCGTCTCAGTGGCGCCTGTTGCCCAGACGCTGTGCATAATGCTGTCGGAAGTGTCGGTGTGCAGAGGACTGTCGGAACCTGTTTTGCATGCGAGGAAGCGCTGGAAGGTGGCTGACTCCGCGGGCCGGATGGGTTGGTAGACAGTGGGTCTGCTGGGGATCCCCGCGACTCCCCCGGCTGGGGTGGGACGGGAGAGGTGGCCGTCACCTGTCATCTGGCCACCTGAGCTCCAGAGTATACGTGATTTCGTTGATATGTCTGTCACCGACGGTCGCCCGGCTGCTTCAATGTGTCAGACTACAGGTGATCTCCGCTGAGACCACAACTGATTGTCTCAGCACTTAGCCCGTGGCGCCGTACCATCGTCCAGGCGCCTCCACAGTGGATGTCTTGTACCTCGGTCACGTATGTAGTTATCCGGGTGGCGAGGCTCCAGACGGTGCTGTGAGGTGCGGTACGGTCCCACTGTGCCTGTGGCATCACTGGTTCATGGTATTCCCCCCCCCCCGAACATTGGCATTGAAAGCACGGAGCTAGGCCGGGGCTGACCATAGCGCTTCGTTCTACATATTACTTTAGAAACTAGTGTCTGGTGAGATATCCGTCCTACACCAACCGTTTGAAAAAAAGCGGCAGCTGAACCCTTGATGCTGTAACTGCGGACGGTTGGAATCGTGGACGTTGGATCGGGTTGTGACGTGAGCTGACGCCTGACGGCGCGGACGTTTGAGTGGCAGTGGCGGGGGAGGTCCTTGTGAGTGTTTGTTCGTCTGACCAACTGTTTTATCTGCAGTGTTAGCACATTGCCACCCGACGCCGATGTTTGTCTTCCACTTGTCCTGTCGCCCTTTAATCCTGTTGACTTTCCAAGTGTTGTGGACGGTTGGGGAACGAATAGGCACCGTGGGAGTGTGCCCAGCAAGCACATTACAAATATTGTTCAGTTGTGAGGGTCATACCAAATATTTGTGAAGGCTGTTGTGAAGTCTATGGTGATCGATTGCTCATGCAATATACCGGGCTTTGCAAAAGTTCTGTTACACTTTCTTTTTCTTTATTTTGAGGGGTTTACAGGTCTGGGCCAAACGTTTCGGCGATATCAATTGAAAATTCTGCTTACTAGAGACATGGTACCATGACGAATTTAACCTTCTTTTGCAGTTATATCAAAATGGAGGCCAAGAGAATAGAGATTGCCGCTTTGCTCCGCGCGCAGCATACCAAAGCTTTCATTGTCAAGCACCTGAAAGTCAGTCGGATGACCGTCCACAGAGTTGCGGACAGGCTCAAGAGCGGAGAAGGTCTCAAAGATCGACCCCGTACCGGCAGACCTCGAGTAGTGAGGCGACTGGCCGTAAAACGGGCATTCGAACGCAACCCAAGGCTGAAAATGACTGAGGTCGCGAAACGCAAGAAGATTTCGGTCGCCACGGTGTCCAGGGCCGTCAAGAACCAGGGTGGAAAGAGCCTACGACTCCTGGAAGGGCCTCTGCTCACTGCCCGAATGCGGGAGCAGCGCCGCGACCGCTGTCAGCGCCTGCTCAGCGACCTGAAGAGCCACGGAAAACGCGTCCTCATCTCCTCTGACGAGAAAACCTTCACGGTTGACCCGGTCGTGAACAAGCAGAACGACCGCGTCGTCACCTTTGGGAACGATGTTTCCGAGGTCCGCCGCGTGTCAAAGACCAAACATCCGGCCTCCGTGATGATGCAACTCTGTGGACGGTCATCCGACTGACTTTCAGGTGCTTGGCAATGAAAGCTTTGGTATGCTGCGCGCGGAGCAAAGCGGCTATCTCTATTCTCTTGGCCTCCATTTTGATATAACTGCAAAAGAAGGTTAAATTCGTCATGGTACCATGTCTCTAGTAAGCAGAATTTTCAATTGATATCGCCGAAACGTTTGGCCCAGACCTGTAAACCCCTCAAAATAAAGAAAAAGAAAGTGTAACAGAACTTTTGCAAAGCCCGGTATAAGTATGGATTTTTAGTTGTATACTGCTTCACTCACGCCTAATTTTGTTCACGTCTTCGATGACACATTAAGAAATATACGAGTACTCGAGGGCTTGTATTTATGGTTGTTGACGAGGTGAGCAAAGTTTCCCTATGCCATTCTATAGGAAGGTGTTGCCTTGTGAAAGGTGAATGAATTGATTGGTGAATGAATTTAGTTTAGCATTATTCATTACCGACGACCTCAACTACCATTTCATCTCAGCCTAGCACATCTGACTATACCACACTGTGACCTGCCGGCCCGCTGTACTCTCAGAACAACCGAACGACGAATACCGAACAGTCGAACACACAGACCAGCCCAACTTACATCTGCTGTGTTGTGTTCGTGACGTCCCCGTCTGTGTACGTGTTTGTGATGGTTAGCGACGAGTCTTCGCTGCTGTTGCTACCCTGTCCCCTATTTGGACTGATCTCTATAGAGTGACGCCGAGTCGCCGACATCCGGCCAGTGCTGACCCCTCCCGCCCCCTGCCCGCAGAAGGACGAGGTGTACCTGAACCTGGTGCTCGAGTACATCCCGGAGACGGTGTACAAGGTGTCGCGACACTACAGCCGCTCCAAGCAGACCATACCCATCAGCTTCATCAAGGTAAGGCGCGCCTGAACGTGTGCCGCATAGTTAGAGCTGGTTAGCGGAATGCCACAATGTGAAGAAGGGCGGCTCATACTGACTACACAATACACATTTGGGGGATATTTGCGTATATGTGTTTGTGTGATAAAAGGATGACATGGTATTATTTAGCGTGTCTTGGATCGATACAGGTGTAGTCTGAGGGACATAGGTAACAGGCCAGCTGTCTTCCGCAGTTTTGTCGATAGTTGTCTGCCCATAAACATAGTTGACATCTCCACAACTGCTAAAAATAGGCATTGAAACACAGTCTGCTTGGCACTGGAACAGGGGCCACGGCCGTTTCACCGCATCGTGACATCCCAACCATGCCACTTGTGTCCACCCGTCTCGGCGTCCGCCCCACCCACCGTGTTTTAGCCGTGTGTTCTGCCCCTCGCTCTGTCTGCCCGCCCGCCTGCCGTGTGTCTGACTGTGTGCCCTCGGTGCGCCCTCAGCTGTACATGTACCAGCTGTTCCGTTCGCTGGCCTACATCCACTCGCTGGGTATCTGCCACCGGGACATCAAGCCACAGAACCTGCTGCTCGACCCCGAGTCGGGTGTGCTCAAACTGTGCGACTTCGGCAGTGCCAAGTGTCTACAGCCCGGCGAGGCGAACGTGTCGTACATCTGCTCGCGCTACTACCGGGCGCCGGAACTCATCTTCGGCGCGACCAACTACACGACCAACATTGGTGAGGCGGCTGCGCGCTGGGGGGGGGGGGGGGGGGGGGGAGAGGGGCAGGACGGGCGCTGACTACAGCGGGATGGGCTGGGGCTGGGGCCTGGTTTTGTGGAAATGGCCAGCCGTAACAGTGATTTTCACGAAGCTTGGCTAGATCGGTGTCCTGCTGTTTTTTTTTTTATTTCGCTGTGTTGCCAATGTATTGTCTTGCCGACTAGCGAGTAGCGGTGCCGATGCCGCTCGATTTCGTGCTGCTGCCAGTGTGACAGGGAACGCCTGCCGTGTTCACTGCCTGTAGAATCGCTTACAATTAGCTGCAAGTCCGATTGCACCGTTTGCTTTTGTGCTGAACGAACCCTGTAACAAGGCTTAAACCATGGAGCAGCGCATTTCGCATCGTCGGCTCGGTTGCACAATCTGAGTCGTTCCACGAAAGTCGTTGCTATCCAGCGTGTTACGGCGGTCGAGGTGTTCGCTGTGTGGCATCTGGCTTTGTTTGGCTGTCGCCATGAACTCGCCGCCGCCGCCGCGATAGTGGCCGTGAATGCCGTGCCCATCGGTGCCATAATGACATACCGGGACAGGGTAGGGTGATTGTAGCTGACGCAACACATTTCTGTAGTTTGCGATCGATTCCATGTGTGTGGTTTGCGAGTGTAGATTTATACGCCGAGAGTGAACCGAGTTATTTTTTCCACCATTGCTCGACCTAGCATAGGCACCAACTGAAGGGCCCAAACCCGACTTGTTCTGTGATCGTGTGCGTAGTCCCGTATGCCCTCTTTTCAGGCGTGAGGACTGTTGGCTGACCTGACCTGTACTGTCCCCCATCAGACGTGTGGAGCCATCTTACCCCCTCCCACTCCAGTCGTGAGGGCCGTTGGCTGACCCCTCCCTCCGTTTCAGACGTGTGGAGCGCCGGCTGCGTGCTGGCCGAGCTGCTGCTGGGCCAGCCCATCTTCCCCGGCGACAGCGGCGTCGACCAGCTGGTGGAGATCATCAAGGTGCTGGGAACGCCCACCCGCGAGCAGCTGGGAGAGATGAACCCCAACTACACAGAGTTCAAGTTCCCGCAGATCCGCGCCCACCCGTGGCAGAAGGTGAGACAACGGGGTGGAAGGGCCGGACGAGTGGGACTTAGGCGGCAGGGATAGATGTGACGGAGATGGGCCGGGATCGCACTGGTTCTAAGTGGGCTGAATGAGTCACTTTTGCCGTGGTCTCTGTCCACTTATTCCGCCCTGAGCTGGTTGTGGGTTTGGGCAGGATATTATGCAATTATGGTTTGCACATTTGTACCATGGCCTGAACATGCACTGTTGGTCGGGCTCAGCTTTCAGCAAGGCGCCTCTGTAACGTGTTAACTTATCAATCCCCAATGTATGCATTGTTCTTTGTGGACGCTATTGGTAGTCTTTTACTGGCCCACCCTGCGCGTGCCTTTGCGAAAGTCGTACCTCGCTGACGGCTGGGCCTTTACAGTTGCTCCTCGAAAGTCCTAAGCCGGCCAAAGGGCACGCTAAGATTCGCGTAAGTGCCGGCCGCCGCCGCCGCCCGCCGCGCGGCGAGCCCAGTGTTGAGTGTGCCGGCGGGTGTGTCTGTCGATGTGCGTGTGCGTGTGCGTGCTTGTACCCGAGCTCAGAGCTGCACCCCTTCTGTCCTGACTGTGTGTCGTACCGGATCCCGCGGCTGGGCGGAGGGAGGCTCTCGGAACTGGGGTCGGGCTGGGACAGGATGCTGTAGGGATTTGTGGTGGGACATGGTGGGAAAACTGCCCCCGTGAGCTGCAGTCGCGGGTGCGTTCTGCTGCAGATTTGGTAGAAGTAGCTGATCGCTTTCGATCTGGTTCTAAGTAGCAGCGCATAAGCGATGTGGATCCCCTGCCACCGAGCTGGCCAATTGAGAAGTCAACTGTAGTCCCGTGAGACTCCTGTCTCCTTGCTTTTTCCATTCTTGCTGGAAATCTCTTTTTCGCTCGTTTTTATTTAAGAAGATCCAGGCACTACGTCGATGCTAATGCCACCTTTTGTCGTAACATGCTGTCATGTTGTGTAGATTTCATTTAACCCGTCAATTATATTAGTGGATTTTCATGGGCGCAATGTCTGGCACAGCACCAATTTCCCTAGTATCCAAAATCATTAAATGATTGAATAATTTATGGTTCACGGTAAACGCGCCATTACAGCATTTAGAGAAGTGTGATGCAACTTGGATGCAACAAGGAAGTCAGTCGGTCCAGAACCAGGCGCTGTGATCGACTCACTCCGGACAATATAATTATTCTGGTCACGAATACACTAATTCTCTACGATCTGCAGGATAATGGAAGTTAATGCCGTCTTTTCCGTGAAGCAGTGGAATCGACAGACATTGACTTAATGACACTGTTGTCGATGCGTCCCTAAACGGCAACTGACCAGGTCACTCAATCATTGAGTTTTACGGTAATTTCGTTTCGAGTTGAATCAAAATTGCGTTGATCTACACCCTAACTCGATCCATTCTTCTGCTGTAACTAGGTTGTCTGTTCGTTACCTATGAGCTCAAAGACGTTTACCATACCGTCCATCTCTCTGTACCACCCACTTAGCCTTTCCCACGCCCGCACAATATTACGAGACCTCGGCGTGGTGGACACCAATGTTCCTTACATGTTTGTGGTTGACGGTTCTCCTGTCACCCTGTGACCTCTGGCTGGAGTGGGCTGGTTGTGTTTGTAAGCTAGTGACAGTTTCCTCTCGCGACTGATGCTAATTGGAATCCGTCGAGCTCCGAGGTCAGTATCGTCGAGCTGACCACAGCTCCCGCTCGGGCGTGACCTCGAAACCGTTGCTGTATCGGTGTTCGTCGATCGTCCCACCTAGACTGCTAGTAGGGCTCACGGCTGCCGGTGGGGCCCGCGATGCCAGTAGGAGCCGCGGTGCCACTCCCAGGTCGGCCCCCCGTTCCCCTATCGACTGAGTGGGCCGGCCGGGCGGGCGGGCCATACCCACCGACCGTCGGTCGATGCCGCACCGACCCACCGGGCGGCCGGCGCGGTCGACGACCGGGTCATGACACTACGGGGGGTACCGGAGGGGGAGGGGGGAGGGGGTACCGAGCCGGGGGTTTGTCGGTAACATGGGGCTAGGAGGGGACATGGTCTGGGCCGGGCCTGAGGGCCTAGGGAGGGCGGTCGTAACCGGGTGTTAGGCACTTCCAAGTGATTTCCTTTCAGAGGATTTCCAAAGTAGGATAGTGTGTTAATTTCGCGGTGTGGACGTTTAAACGTTTTTGCACACTGAAGGTAATTTTGATATACTTGGAAAATTGAATGGATATTTTATTTATTCTTCAACAAAGTGACCTTCCTGGTTTCTTCGGTGGCTTGCCATCGTCCCTAGCCGATCTCACGTCAAGAAGGATCACTGCTACAGATCGCTGTCAGTGCCGCGGCTATAGGTCGTGTTCTATTAGCTACCTGGGCATAATTACCGTGGATGCTTGTAGCGGCGTTAACCCTCGCCTCCTCTCTGACCTACCGGCAAACGCGACTGGCATCCGGGGTGTTTCACGGGGTGAGAAGCCTGCCACGGCATTTATCTCCGAGATTAGCTGGCTCTTTGGCTGTCTGTTGTCATTGGTCAGTTGTTGTGCGTTGGCTCTACTCGTGGTTAACCCAACTGTGGCGTTTCCTAAAGGACTGCACACAGTCTCTTCTCAGGCAAAAGGACGCCGCGCTGGTAACGAATAATCCGGTACGGATGGAACCAATTTGGCTCGCCTGGCGAAGTATGTTTGACTTGCGAGTCCCAAATACCATAGAGAGACCATTCGTTTTGCTGAGAGGAATTGAGCGGGACATGCAGTCACGGGAGATGAAGAATTTCACATTTGATGGGCAATCTCTGTGGGCTGCATGACTTTCTGATCCTGATTTGATGGGTTCTTGGGACAATCTCTAAACTACTCATCCTGAGATTGCAAGCCTTTGTTGCCTGTAATGCATATTTTTGTAATGTGGTTGGGAAAGCGAAACATTTCAGCAACTCTGCACCGTGGTGCTTACATTTTTTACAATGTTCTCGACGCTAAACCTAACATCTTTTGCAAGTCAAACCAAACTCGATTATGGCTCAAATTGCCTGAGTTCTGACTACCATGCTCCAACTTTGAGGCATGTTAACATTCATTCTTGAACTGGTATTTTTATTTTTGTGGCTGTATGTCCCTAACTAGTAAATAAAAAGCTCTGACAATATTCACTTGCGCACCAATGTGTCAGCCTGCAACATATGTCTGAGAAAACATCCGTTTCGTGATTCGTCGTCCTTCGATTGCAGCTGACCTAGGTAGATCAGTTAAATCACGTTGGGCTGCCTTGTGCTGAACTGATAGCTGGCCTAGTTGCTAGTGCAGAGTGAGTATTTATAGCAGTATGTGGCATCTGTAGCGTGGGCTAGACCTAGCAAAGAGTGAATAGGGACTAGGCCGGTCCCAGCTGCTTCAGACGGCAGCGTGAACTGTGTGTGGGAGCCGCCCGGCCCTAGATATTTGTGAGAGCCGCCCGGCCCTGTCACCGGAGTGAGCGGCTGCTCTGCTGTGTGGACGGTCTGCTGCTCGCTACGTGTCCCGTCCAGTTTTCAGTCGGCCCGACCCGGCCCTGGTCTGTCAATGTGGGCGGCGCTCCTCTGGGCCCAGCCGCCGGCGCCCTCTACAGGCACCCCACCACACCAGCGCCCTCTCCGTTCCGCCGCGCTCTGAGCCGGCGGCGACCGGCGCCCTCACAGTCCCCCCACCCACCCTCTGTGCCGGCGGCGCTGTACTGACCGGTCGGCCGCTGCTTGCAGGTGTTCCGGGCACGGACGCCGCCGGAAGCCATCGATCTGGTGTCTCGACTGCTGCAGTACACGCCGACAATGCGCACCACACCGCTGGAGGCGTGCGCCCATGGCTTCTTCAACGAGCTGCGCCTGCCGCAGGCGCGCCTGCCCAGCGGCCGAGAGTTACCGCCGCTCTTCAACTTCAGCGACGAAGGTGCGTGGCTGCCGACCCGCAGATCGGGCGGGGTCTAGAATGACTGAGTGATAGTTTGTCGTAAGGATCATTGTGTGGGTTATGATAATTGATGTTTGGGCAAACTCTGACACATATGTATTGAATGTCAACTATCGATAATTCGTTCCATTTTCGCCTAGCTTTTGAACAACTGTTTAACAAATTGACATTAAATTTGCTGTCACCTGCCCTATAGTCCAGTGCAGTGTCGTTGACCTGGTGTCTGGGCACTGTCGGATCGTGCCCCTGTGTTCGGTCCGTGTGACGGCTGTCGCCCTGTCTGACCGCCGCCTCCCCGCCCTGTGCTCCCGCAGAGCTGAAGGCGAGTCCCTCTCTGGCGGCCACTCTGATCCCGGCGCACGCGCGCGCCGGCACCAGCGCCGCCGAGCCGGACGGCGCGGCGCCGCCGGCCGAGCCGGCCGCCGCCTCCTCGTCCGGGGCCTCCGGCTCGGCCGCCACCTGACGCCGCTGAGCGCCGCCCCGCCCCCGCCCCCGCCCCCGCCCGAGCCGCGCCGCCGCCGCCGCCGGCCCGGCGCGGCGCGGAGCCAGATGTGTCTGTGTTTGTGTGCGCGCGCGAGCAGGGTGCCGTGCGTCGTGCGCGCGGCTAACACTTGGAGCACAGGACCTCTCTGCCAGCGTACACTGCAATATCTCTGTATCCATCGGTAGTTGCCATTTGTGTGTGTACCTGCGGGGCGCGGCCGAGTCTCCCCGCCTGCCGCGTGCCATGGGCCCGCTCTCCGGGCCGACCCTCGCAGCCCGCCCGCCTGCCCACCCGCACGCGCGCGCGTGTGTGTTTTATTTTCGCTGATACGGCGTGAGCGCAACGCCCCGTTTTACATTGCGTAGGGAGCCGTGAGGCGCGGCTCGCCGCTCACCGCCTCTAGATAGGGGTTTTTGTAATGCCGAATCACTCGCCCCTCTATCTCTCTCTCCCCCTTCTCGAGTCTCTCTCTTGACTTTCTTTCTGTATATCGCTCTGTATTTGGCCGTCACTGTATCTGGCTCTCTTGTTTCGGTCTGGTTTCTCGCGCTCTGTGACGCCGCGGTGGACCCAGCGGCTGGCGCCGACTGGCTGACGTGCCGCTGCCTGAGCCGAGAGAGAGAGAGAGTGAGAGAGGCCGACGGGTCGACACGGGCCCGCCGACCCGGCGCACGGCCGGCGCCACTAGCTATGTGATCCACATTTTTAGTCTGGCGTCCTATGTTGTATCTTAAGCATTAACACGACGAGCGGAGAAGCCGCGTTTGAGCGGGGAGCTGAGAGCGGGGCGCCGGGCCGGCCGCCGGCGCTGGCGCCGGGTCGGGGCGCCGCGCGCAGTGTGACCAGGGCTGGAGCGGTGCGCGCACCCGGCACGGCCGCGGCCGCCGCCGCCGCCACGGACCGCCTCTGATCTTAACTCCCCAGCTGCGTGTGTCTGCGGCAAATGGAGCGAGCCGGCAGCCTGTACAGATAGATGATCCATAAATTTAAGAGCGGATCGAGTGTGTTGCCGGATGCTCGTCGAATTTTAGCGGACACTTCAGACATTCAACTAACACCACTTGTGATAGCGCAGTGGCCCTGAAGAATACCCGATCGCTTCTACTAAGAAATTAGCTTCCTATTGCTAGCGACCGTCGTACAACGGGTCTGTGCGTACACACCATCATGTGTAGGTCCCCACCAGGGCGCTATGTGGCTATCGGACCGTCGCCCGGCGCTCTGCAGTCTATCAATACTCTATTCACAGCGGTAGGTTGGGCAGGGTCACACAGCCGGACAGTAGGTGAACGAAACACCGGGATGAACTCTCTGCACAGTCACTCGGAGAAGCTACGAATGAACTGCAACCCATGCACCTTGGTGAGGGGCTGTCCTAGTCTCAAATCAGCTAGCCTACAATCTACAGGATATAGCTGTCATGGCTCGACCTAGGCGCGTCTGTCCCTCAATACCACCTGACACTGATCTGGCTTCCAGGTCTGACCGCGGCTGCCTCCCCTATCTCCTCAGACATGGGGAATCAATCCCGGATCACGCCATTCAGCGGTTGCTACCCGCGGACTCTCGAGCCGGTGTCGATGCGAAGAATCAATCCCGGGTGACGTCATGCCGGCCCTCGAGTTCCCAACCAAGGAGCTCTCAATGTCCTCCGCAATAGAGCGTCGCGCCGGCCCGGGGGCACCCTTCAGACCTGGCGCTGGGTGGAGGGGGAGAGGGGTACCGGGCGGGATGATTGAAGGAGCCAGTCTCGACAGCATTCGCCGGCGGTACTATTGGTAAAGATAAGGGCCTAGGCGACCTGTAGTTTTGATGCGGTGAATACCCTAAGCCTCGCCACAGCTCGGGCCGAGTGCACCCCCCCCCCACTAGAGTTGCGGCGAGGATAAGGGTATCCGAGGATAACCGCATCCGAACTACAGGTCGCCTGGGCCCATCTTGAGACCCATCGTACATCCAAAGACGGTGCAACCTCAAGAGACCATGTATTTTGTCTCATTCCACCAATGGGTTACCACAGTCCGCCGATCGCGGTACACTGCCCGGCGCCCGCAATGTTTCACTGCTGGTGTATACCGGGTGAGGCAGGCGTCCCCGACAGACGGAGCTCCCGCCACAGAACACGCCGCGGCAGAGCCGTGGGCGTCAGTGGAGTCCGACGACGCACAAAGAGTTAAACAGCGTCAAACCCCGCAATAAACTAACAGCACAACGCTCCCAGCCGGATATTTTGCGGGATGCGTGCGACCGTGTCTAAATTAACGCCGGGGGCAAAGTTTTTCACTACCTAATACAATTTCAGCTTTAAACACCGAAGTTGCATCCTAAACTTCAAATGACCTTAGCCTCAACCCAACAACGGTACATGATCATCCACACCACACGACGAGTACCTACGGGATTTCAATCCTCCACATTGCCATCAACCACTACGCGACGGTACCACACCATCCACACCTGACCGTGGGGAGAGGAGCATACCTGATGCCCTACCATTTCACCTAACAACGCTAGTAACAACATATCTCTCTGCAGGAAGGACCTGCACTATGGAAGACTAGACGAGCACCAAATCCTCTGTGTCGACAATAAAAAACGTATCCTACGGGCTACGTTTGCTTCCTATAACCGCGCAAGGCACTAATGCAAGTTCCATCGACACTCCTTTAGGTATGCTTACAGATCTTGGATAACAGCCATTCGCGAAAAAAAAACGCGTAATATTCACCCGGCCGAGGTTATCCACGTGCCGAGATTCGGTAATCCACAATACGGGTTGAACGACGGCTAGATCTGAACATGGAATATCACCAGACATACCGGAAATTAGCACCGAAATGTTAACTTGTTTTGACAATGGTAACTGCCATTTTTACTAACCACGACAAAGAAAATTGTCATGGTCTGATAAAATTCTGCAGCGGACAATGACTAGCGATTGGGCGTGTGATTGTATCGAGCAGGAAGCCCTCTGTGTGAACCCTCGTGTGAAGCCCACTACTATGTCACGCGCAGCTCAAGAGTAGCCAAAACCACCGGATAACATGGTCTTACAACACAGCACAGAACACCACACACTTCCCGACTGCCACCGGCCCAAAACAGCACCAAACAGCCAGCAGGAGCCCGACCCGGGCCGCAGCCACTACCACCTTCACCGCCGAACTTCAGTAACACCACGGCACACACCAACGCGCCCGCGCCCGGCGGTCACAAGGGTTATCTGGTAACACTCCACACACCTCCCATATTAGAGCAGTGATCGGTCCGTAACTTGTAGCGTCTGGCGCGTATCAGCTCCTCAGGCTTTTCCGCTGACCGGAGGGGAGGGGCATGTAGGTCACACACCGATCCTAGCCGAACAGAGCCGGAGCGGCTAACCGACTCAAACCGGGGCAACTGACCGATCCTAGCAGAGCTGGAGCAGCTATCCAACCCGAGCAGGAGCAGCTATCCAACCCGAGCAGGAGCAGGTAGCCAACCCGAGCAGGAGCAGCTATCCAACCCGAGCAGGAGCAGCTATCCAACCCGAGCAGGAGCAGCTATCCAACCCGAGCAGGAGCAGGTAGCCAACCCGAGCAGGAGCAGCTAGCCGACCCGGGCTCCGGCAGCTAGCCGAGCAGGACGCGTCGGAGCCGGCGCTGCCGCCAGCCGCCGACCTCGTCATCGGAGTCGGACTCGTCCGAGCGCTGCCCCCGCTCGGTCACCTGAAGCCGCTCGCAGTTGGACGAGCACAGGTAGCGCATCAGCGGGATGTGGTACATACCGCAGAAATCCACAAACTGTACGTCCTCCACGCGAGTGTCGAAGAACACGCCTGTCAGAGCAGGAGAGAAAAAAGACTGTGTCAGACAGGGTGGCAGAATAGAACAGCCTCAGAGACGGGGCGTGTAATAACTAATGCATAGACAATGCGTACACAATAATCAAGTTCATGTGATACTCGTAACGCCAATGACAAACAAAAAAATCAGGCAGCTAGCTTTCAATCGGTCAGCATCGCCTTGCACGATTTCATGCAACAAAGAAATATGAGCTGGCAGGCAAAAAGAGGTTATGTGCCCTCCTCAAATCTAACTTAAAAACACATTTCACAAGAAACTCTTATTTCTCATACACCCTACTCTAGTGGATGCTGCATACATCCTAAACCTGTTAGGAGAATCAAAGTAAATCCCGCCGAGGAACCCTACCAGTCGGTCAGTCGGCGGGCCGCTCACCCTTGCAGCGTTTGTTGACGCAGTGTTTGGCCGAGGCCAGGTGTTCTATGAGCGCCGCGGGCAGGTCGCCCGGTCCGTACGGGATGTTGTGCAGCTTGACACAGCGCGCCGCCAGCTCCAACAGAGACGACGGCTCGTACTCGATGGTGCCCACAAAGTCGCGCACCAGCGGGTTGTCTCGCAGGCTCAGCTGTGGGAAGGAGTGGGCGAGGTTTAAATGGTGTTCATCATAGCGAGGTACAGCGGGGAGAGGCCGGCGATACAGCGTCTTGTCAGAGGCGTGGCACTTCCTAGCGACATACGACTGTGTCAATAATTTATCAGCGTCAGCCGAGTGTAAGACGCGGTTCACAATCCCCAAATCACAAACAGGTAAATCGATTACCAGTAAGCGGTAACCAGCTCATCCCTTGACGACTCAGAGATCATCTGCCCCGTTTCCGTCGCCCGGCGCTGGCCGCTCTCCGCCCGGTCGCGGGGCCACGCACCTGTTTGAGGGCGCGCAGCCGGACGATGGAGCCGGGCAGGGTGGACAGCTGGTTAGCGTGCAGCAGCAGGGTGCGCAGCCGCGGCAGGCTGCAGATGGACTCGGGCAGCTCAGTCAGACGGTTGTCGCATAGCACCAGCACCTGGCGGACATTAACAGAACTTCAGGTACGGGAACTGATCACAGGTGACGCTAGACGAGGTAAAGAGCAGGAGCTCCGACACGACGGCCGCGGTGACATGAAAATGGACTCAGTTGATCAGGGCCCTGTTTCACCGGTGATAGCAGCACGCTGCTATCACCGGTGAACGTACGTGTGATAGCAGCACGCTGCTATCACACGTGTCAAATTGGGTTTCCATGGAAACATCAATAAAAACCATGGCGTCGTCAAACTGTGTGATGTCATCAAATATTGCTGCTAACATCTTCACGGCCGTGCGATCAAACAAATGTATCAAACGCAATTCAACGAGACAACAACTCTGTTCCAAACGCAGCTCACGGATTACACGAAACGTCATTAGTGTGACCTCATCACATTACGTCAGCTCGCGCAATTTGATAGTAGCGTGCTGCTATCACCGGTGAAACAGGGCCCAGGCTTGAGGCTAGTCAGTATGGACGCGGCGGTGAGCTGGCATTACAAAACAAAGCAAAGTGTGATAAAAAATTGGTGACGATTTCACAGCTTACTGCCCATTCACCCATTTGACCTCTGCTCGATTGTTTCTATGCCCAGATAGGCGACACCGATTTCAATCTAAAAATCGCACAAGAAGCCACCATGAAGCCACATGAGCTCTGCGCACCTGTGACCAGACAGGTGTCTGTTTCACCTGTGTATATTGTCAAAACGATAGGCAAGTTCGAACACCACGAACTAGCCCCTACCCGCACCGCTTGGTACTTCAACATCGACGAGCTAACTACCCAACATCCTTTCACAACGAAGGAGAAAACACAAGAGGGTTATAGTAACAAAAACTGAATGGATTGAGGGTGGTTCCGAACAAAACAGCTGAGCTGATGACATCGAAGATCACGCAAAACAAAAGTCTGCGACGAGCGTTATTATAGAAAAGCAATTGATTACAGAAAGTAGCCAATTGCTTTCAGAGGTGACAGTTGCTGCTAGAAAACTCTGAAAATCCCATGAAAGGAGAGTTTTCACGGTAGCCCACGTCTACAAGCCAGCGGAACAGTTGGCCCCTGTGTAGCCGTGCGTAAGTGGGTTTGACCGTCTTTGCGTAAGCGGGTTTGACCGTACCGTGCGTACTCAGTGACCGTACCGCGCCCGCCCCTGCGCACACGTGTCCCCAGAGCACGTTTTACGAGGCTATTAAACAAACCACCACCGTCGGCTGCTACTATTCCATCGACCCTGGGATGTGCCGCTCGTTACGTAATCGTAGGGAACCGGCCACTGAGGGCGCTACGCTGTCTGTCTGTCTGTCTGTCTGTGTGTGAGTGTTTGTCTGAGGTATGCCTAGAAGGGCCACATCGGCAAGGAAAAACAATGGCTCGCTGGAGTGTATGTCAGTCACAACAGACGGCCACGGTAGTATCAACACACGTTTTGTCGAGTCACAGCCAGCAGACACGCCCAGTGCCCCAACTGACCAGACAAGCCCGTCATGGAAAGTTACTCGCGGGAAGATATATGGATGGCTGATGATGAGGGTTCAGGGTCGGTAGTGATGCTTCCGTTGCGCTGGGCGCTGCGCAGTGGTTGGATCTGAACTGTGGCCAAATGTAGCTGATAAGACCGACAGCAACAGGGAGCAATGTCGACCAATGACCGCCGTGAACGATTCATCCTCCGGACGTAGCCTATCAACAGCGGGGAAACAGCGGCCCGCCCAGCGGCTGCTACCGACCGCCATCGAAGTCAGAATTGAGGGAGACAGAAATGGAGACAAGTCGACAAAGCAAAAACGATACAGACCGCTGAAGACAAGTAACCACGCACTGATAGATCACAGGCAAAAGCAAGCGATCAGCATTCACAAAAGGTCGGTGCCCAGTCGGACTCCATTTCTATCGGGGAACCGTTCCCAGTGAACTCAGCTATAGGTTAAGGTATTCGACGGATCTGTTTGTTCCCAGAGGTCACCAGTCTCCCGGTGGACCCCTCAGCCACAGCCCACGCCGTGCAAGCTGCTCGCGGCGTGGCAGCCACGTGACCCCCACGTGATGGCCGTCCACCGGTCACGTGACGGTCGGGGGCGCGTCTGGCTGGGCGGCTCGATGCCAGACGGCACAGACCCGAGTCCCGAGCGGGCGGGCCAGGCGCTCTCACGGACGGACGCCGCCTAAACACCGCAGGGCGGGATTGTTTGGACACGTGCCGCGGGCAGGTGCCAGCTCTCCAACAGGTGTCCCCACAAAAACGGATGATGGTCATGGTAATCTGGTCCGGAGTTAGCCCGACGCGATTGGTGCTTGACGCCCGACACCAATGCAGAAAAGTTAACATGGGTAAATAAGCCTTCTAAAATGTATCTAAAATGACTAATAGACAGTTTCGCAAACAACCGGCACATTCAGGAATACACTCTCATCCTCGTAGACAACCATTTCTGAAATAAAGACTTCCTATGTGGTAAGAAAGGGATCTTCTGCCAAATTTCACAAAAGAATCATACGAGTGACATCAGGGTATGAGTGCAGTGTCAAATGAGTCCAAGTGGAACTGGAAGACCGGGCTGGACGGGACGGGATCTGCCGTCGTGGCATGACTTGGCAAAGACTGTGTTTGAATTAATCTCACCAGACCGCTGAGCTTAAGTAGGCATAACCACTAGCCAGCGCTCAATTTCAAGCCAAACAACGCTTTTAAGAAAACTACATATTGCCCTCTAAACAATGACATAGGATATCGACCAAATCCGATAATACTACCGGGTGTTCATTAATGAATGGAATAAAGTAGCTACGTCACGTGATAACAATAAATCACGTGAGCGCATTTTTTTCCTTGTAAATATGAAACATAGGTTTTATCATTTTTAATACATGATAACCTTAATCACAGCGTTATCCAAACGCTTATGAATGGCTCTGGTTTCGAAGAGCCCAAATCGGCACTTCAAGACAAACTCGCCGTTCAATTATGAACTAGCGGGTTGGGTTGTGGAGAATTGTGCCGGGTTGGAAAGTCTTACCGTGGTTAGACGGGCTTTCCGCCTTAAGCTCTCTCCTAGAAAACTAGCAGCAATACCACATACCACATCTGAATGCTTTTCAGCGTTTAGTGGAGAGATTTAGGATGGTTGCAGCGACACGGCCATGTGTGCGCTCCGGGCGCCAGCCGATGACCCCTGGTGAAATGGAAAAGGTCAAGGATTTCTTCCGGAAAAATGTCACAGCTCATGCTCGGCAGGCGTGCGAAGAGCTTAAAATGTCCATTGGAAAGGTATGGAAGATCCTGATTCTGTCATGATTGGCCTCCCTCGATCGAGGTCAACGATCGGATCATCTCGCGCGGAGGTACCCATCTGCACTGGCCCGCATACAGTCCCTACCTGTCCTGCCTGGATTTCTCGTTCTGGACCCAAGCTTTGAATCGCATGGTAGAATCGGATGATGATGATGATGATTTGGTGTTTTAGGGCGCACCAGCAACGAGGCTATATGGCGCCCATATCTAACCAATCTTCCTCAAAGTCGGGGGTTAAAAATCACCTGAAGCCCGGAGGCCGTGATGAACGAAAAGAGGCGAAAGGAATCGAGAAAAGGGGAGTCGTCGCGGAGAAGTGTTCTCAAAGAGAGCTGGGGGCCACGCAATCCAAAAAACCGCAATCGCTCAGCGTCCAGTCTCGGGCACTCGACCAAGACGTGTCGGACCGAAAGTCGGTCACCACATCTGGTACAAATAGGCCTGGAGCCAACGCCGATAAGGAACCCATGGGTGCCATAAGTGTGCCCGGTACGAAGCCGGCAGAGGACCACCTCCTCGCGTCGCGATCTGCGTGAGGCCGACAACCAGGTAGCTAAACCTGGCTTGATACGTAAAAGTTTGTTACCGTGGGATTGGCTCCAGGCCTCCTGCCACTTTCCGAGGAGGAAAGAGCCCACCGCCGGTACAAAGTCCCTGGCGGGTAGAGGGAATCGGCGGGAGCACGGATACTGCGCAGCATGGTTCGCAGCTCGGTCCGCCCGTTCGTTGCCGTGAATACCGACGTGGCTAGGGATCCAGCAAAAAGACACCGACGTACCCTCTCGGTCGAGGGCTGTCACACGAAGAAGAATCTCCTGTGCGAGGGGGTCAGAAGGATAGAATTGTGACAAGGACTGGAGACCACTCAATGAGTCAGAAAGAATAACATATGACCGAGCGGGATTAATCTCGATAAAACACAGGAGTTTGAGGATAGCGACCAATTCGCAGGAAAAAACGGATGCATGTTTAGGTAAGGTAAAACACCGCACAGCGTCGCCGCAGACGAAAGCACACCCGGCACCGTCATCAGTCTTTGAGCCGTCAGTATAACAGGCTATGTAGTCAGAGTACCTTGAAATATGTTCCAGCGCACGAGCCTTTAAAACAGCTGGAGGGATGTCGCCTTTTCTCACATCGGTGAGGGAAAGGTCCACCTTTGGCGGGACTTGTCTCCACGGTGGGACAGATGGCCACTCCTTACGCATGACCCCCCGAAGTTTAATTTGAGCTTCCGAGAGCAGCGATTGCATACGAGAGCAGAAAGGGGGGTAGCGGACAGTACGTGCACCTTCTCCGGTTCTGAAAAGCGCCAGGTTGGCACGTGAGAAAACTGCATCATAGGCAGGGTGGGAAGGCAACTGGCGGAGTTTTATGGTATATCTCATGCCCAGTAGCTGGCGACGCAAGGCAAGAGGTGGCTCGTGGGCCTCTACAAGGAGGCTGGCTACTGGGGTGGTCCGGAACGCACCAGTGGCAATACGAAGAGCAGTATGGTGCACAGAGTCCAGAATACGTTTCGAGGTCTCCGTGGCGTTATCGTATATAAAACAGCCGTAGTCTAGTCTAGAACGGACAAGAGCACGATAAAGCAAGAGCAGTGTCTTACGATCCGCCCCATAGCAGGTACGCGCAACACATTTCAAAACATTCATAGCTCGAAAACATCGGTCGCGGAGCTCTTTCAGGTGAGTGCGGTA